ATTAAAGAACATGTACATATCGCTATCGCATTACATAAAACTTCACTCTCGAAATGATGAAATGTGCTGCACTCATAAACCGCAATGACTGTTTGTTGTCTAAATCAGCTTGAGTAAACAATCCACCATATGAAATGGCGTTCTTATTCCCATGTCAATGCGGATTCAATTGAGAAGTAGGCACATACACGCTGCACACAGAAAAAAAAACCGTCTGCGATTGCCAAATACTGTGATATTATGCAAAATGCAACATTTTTCCGTTCGGTATATGATTGAATATTGCACAATGGAAGTGGTGGCTCGGATTGGTGCACACCATACATACGTATCGTATGCGTCGGATCGCTTTAAGCGAATGCAACTAAAAAGCTACACACCAAGCAAATGGAAGCAAAATACTACTCACTGCGTATTTGTAATTGTGAACGAAACGATGATTCTCGCAAAAGCGACTCTCTAGTAAACCCAATGAACAAAAGCGAAACAAGAACAGAAAAAAAGAAACCTTCGCGATATTAATCGCGTCTACTACGTTTGGTGGTTCGATTTAAACTGTATTAGTCGAACGCTCGGCATAAAATTTTTGGATGTTGGCTACGAACATGGTCTCCCAATTCGATTTTAGTTCTTCGGGTCGTGTGTTGCCTCTTTAATGCTGGGCACAGCACACGTAACACCAATTTTAAAATCAAACCTGTTGAAACGCTGTTAAATTTAGACTCTTTCTCTCCCGTCTATCGTTTTTGTCGCTCCGTGATATTTATTATTTTTGTGTTGTTCAACAAATTTAATGCGTTTTTACAAGTTGTTTGAGGAAATTTTTTTTGTTTTTGACTAAACACATAGCGCGCATCTCCGTTGTAATTATTATTCCAATCAAAAATTGTGGTTTTATTTTTAGCGATTTAATTAACGATTGTGTGTTTAGGTTTCGTTTGTTTCAAATCACGATTTCACGCGATATAAAATCCGATTTGATGGGCGATTGGAGAGAGAAAAAAACGCTATCAATTTAGCCATTAATTGGTGAACCGTTTCTCTGTCTCTCTGTTGTTCTGATGTAAAACCAAACCGGTTCCTGAGAAGCAACTACTGAATACGGTTAGCTAATAGACTTGGACAGATCATATCGATACGTTCAATACCTATTTTGTTGAGACATTTGCGCTGCTGTCGATGGAAGACTCATTCATGCGCATCACCATTAACAAGAAGTTTGAGATAAGTTGAATGAAATCCGACAACTTGCGAGGCATCGACACCGACATAAAGTGCCCAAGTATACGTAAACTCCGATGACTAATCACATGAATCAATCATTCAGTCGCAAATGTACACGTATCGAGACGTAGTTATAAGTACACGTCACATCGACAAACAATCGGAATTCAATTGCTTCGATGTGAATGCACTCGCTAAAGAATGACAATATTTGCACGTGCAAACAATCGATATATTTTCATCTGTTGTGGTTGGAATGGTTTTTTTTTCGCGCTTGAACTTGAATTTCTTTTTTTCGAACGAGGTGTGAGAAAGAGAAAAAAAAACTCGCTTTCATTTGTGAATAATAAAATGTCTTTTTATTCTTCACCTTGAGTCCGTTACTCTTAGTCTAATTTTGTTGCATTTAATTACACAATAAATAAAAGCTAATTGGTGACAAAAAATAGAAAATGTTCGGTGTGTGTATGTTTTTGTTGGTAAAAAATTAAGTCGGTCTTTGCTTTCTATAAATAGGATCTAGACATAAGAACTAGATAGAAAAAAAAGAGAAATCTAACAGTTCCTGACAAAGTGCCACTGATCAGGCAACAATATCATAATTTCAGTAGAGTATCATGTCTGTGATACGAAATATCAAGTGTTGAGCATTTTTTTGTTGTTGAATAGGTATAGCAATTGACTGCTGAATGAAAATTCGCTAATAGAGTATTTTTTATAAATTGACAAAGAAGAACTAAAGGTAAAACTCAGTGAACGAACAAATCTATCGATGCTTATATACGATCGAATGGCTTCTACACTATCAATGACCGCGTGTTTTGATGCAATTGTAAATGTCATTAATCGCTTTTTGTGAAATCATACAAAAACATAAAATGAGATCGTCTTGTTGTTTTTTCACTATTTTTTTGGTCGAATTTTTTCGTAAAAGAATTTTTGCTCCAAATTTTGACCCTGTACTTTAATTTTGTTCTGCAATTTGTAGTTGAAGTGGAATTGCTGCAATGCAAATTCATAGAATTCGTGCTCCAACCGCCATACTTCGGTCTTTTTTATTGCAGCTATCGTCTCCGGACTCGGATCGATCTTTGATGTCGTCTGACGCAGATGCGATTTACTCGAGTTTAGATATTGATTCATTGATCCTTTGAATATTCTGTGGGTGGTTCAGTTTAAAGAAATATTTGTAATTGCAACAAAAATATTCAAAAAACGAAACCAAAAATAAAGAAAAAGTTGAATTATTGGTAAAAATGTCTTGAAAATTGGATTTGAAATTTTTAGCATATCTTGACTATTAAAAAATTCAATTTGTAATATAAATAGAATTCTTAAGACTCTATTCGAAGAAAATGGAGTTAAGATATACGAACCTTGGCAACGATAACTCTAATAGATATATGAAATCTTCCATTTCTTCTGTTACTCCAACTAAAAAGTAATGATTCACTAAGTTATACTTGGCTTGCTCTAACGCCCATTCGCTACCCGGTCGCCTGTAAATTGGAACAAAAATCGGAATTTATATTCCAAGAACTTGAATCATTTGAAGATAAACGCATGAAAGTGACAATTAATATACAAACCAGCACTCAGCCGCATGACCACAAAAGAATGGCACTTGCAGCCACATATATTTTACATCGCAATCCGGTTGCTTTCGTTTTATACACTCATCTAATGTCTGCACATGATGAAACAAATTAAAAATGTTAGAGTTTTCGAAAAAAAATCACGATTTTCTCTTTTGAATCGTTCCAAATGAGATTCTAAGTTAAATTTTTGCACCAATTGTTGTTGAGAAATTGGTAAATTTGATGAAACAAATCACCACCTAGTGAGTTGCACTTACCATTTTATCGCCCGCTTTTCGTCGCACCAAATTCGGCCTGTAGTTGTCTCCATATCGCAAAAAATAGTAATATGATACTAAACGGTCTATTGGTCTTCTTATCAAATTTATATAAATTGGTTTCTGTGGGATTTGGAATCTAAGAAAGAAAAAAATTCTTGAATCAATCAAAAAGATAAAAATGTAGAAGAGACAGAAATATGCA